AGAGAGAGAGAGAGAGAGAGAGAGAGAGAGAGAGAGAGAGAGAGAGAGAGAGAGAGAGAGAGAGAGAGAGAGAGAGAGAGAGAGCAGAACCATGATGTGCATGACATGGGGGGGGCTGCACAGGCCCAAAATGTCCAGCCGCAGAGGCCCAAGTCCATGCAAAACGATGGAGGGCACAGCAGAAAGATGACAACATGGGAAAATTTCTGATATACCAGGCTTTTGCCCTTTGTGGTATTCCCACAAACTGTTCAGATGCAGACCTGAGATCGAGCGTTCCACGACACAGTTTTTTTTTTTTTTTCCGGGAAAATATAGGTGTTCTGGACCGGTCCGGATATTCCGGAATATTCCTGTTTTCCAAAGTCCGGATGGGGCCGGGAGGTCCGGAGTCCGGTCCGGCGTAGCTATGGTGTTTTAGAACAGAAGAAGAAGAAGAGGAAGAAGAAGAGGAAGAAGAAGCTAAAAAAAACATAGAAAGAAGAAAGGAGAGAAGGAAGAAGAAGAAGAAGAAGAAGAAGAAGAATCAAACTGAGAACCATGAGGAGAAGACTGAAAAAAAACAGGCAGAGGACCACTCTCGGAAACGAAGTTATACGGCGGGAGATTTGAGTATAAAAGTCTCTCTCTCTCAAGTACGTAGCTCTACACACACACACACACACACAGACACCAGCTTAGTAAAAGAGGAGCTGTTGCCCCAAAGAACCCCCAACTAAACACATTCAAAATGGTTCAATTATGATTCATGCTGCTTGCTAAAGAGGTGAATTCTTTAGTTGTTGGGCTGGCTCAACTCAAATCTACTTGTCTGGGTGGCATAGGGGCTGTTGTGGTGGAAACTTACAACACACACACACACACACACACACACACACACACACACACACACACACACACACACACACACACACACACACAGAGATAGAGATGATGATCTCATTTGGAATCAGCGTCGCAGCCTTCGTCCTCAGATGACTGTTTCCTGCGGTCATCTGAATCCGGGTCATCCTCCACCACCGTCTTGCGCCTGTGGCAGTTTTT